GCTTTCCTAAAGCAGACACATATCGGGACAGAACAAAACACTTTCCACATTTTTTAAAATCACAAACAACACACAGGACCAAGGATCTTTTTCTCTGGTCAAGAATATTCGGAAACACATCTTCTATTCGGCCTCCAGCCAACACCTCAAGCTCTGGCCTTTTTTCAAAAGGAACTGCTCCAGCTGTCCAGATGTTTAACACTGCTGCCATCTTCTGGCCTCTTTAAGAGGGCCTTTCCAGATGTCTCCAGGGCCTGCTCAAAGATGATGGCCTGAATGGAGCACCACCATTTTCATGTTTGCTAGCAGTCTGAACTCATTCCAACTTCTGGCCTAACAAAGTTCAAATTCAAAGCCAGAATCTCTCCTCAGCTGCCATCCAATTAAAGAAGTTCACTCTTTCAAGATGCTGTGGTACCACACGGTAATTTACCCACTAGACAGTACTCCAGTGGCATTAAGGAGCATCAGAAAGCCCTGAGAGATAACAACATTCTGAAGACAAAGTGAATTTAAGTTCTCTTTCATGAATGCAAAGTCCTTTTTGCAGAAGAGTAAATGTTGTTATACCAGATGTTAACATGGTACTACAAAGTGATTAGCAATGGCACTGTACTCGATGTACCAGCCAGAAGTTGGAATGCATTCAGACTGCCAGAAAACATGAAAATGCATCGAATTATACTATTGTCTAGCCCACACCTCTCCACTGTCTCCCAAGGAGTAACACAAGAGCCAACCGAGAGTTCTGCTGCAAGCCAGGTAACTCTAAGCACAGCAGTAATCCTGTCAAAAAAGAAAATGAGGTTAGTCTGGCATGACCTCTTCTCAGAGAAGCCACCATGCTGCCTCTCTGGAATCACCTTTTCCCTTAATAGATTTGTGCCAAACATCTCTTTAATAACCCATCCCAGAGTTTTGCCAAGAAGTGAAAGAAAACCCATGGGCCTATAGTTAGCAAACTGTTCTAGTCCCTTTTTTGAAAATCAGGGTGACTTCTCTAATCTCGTGGTGCCTCTCCAACATCCCATGAAGGGGTCCTTGAAGGGACTGAGCAAGAATCCTTCACATTCCCAAACAAAGAGCCTATTATTCTACAGCAAGATCAAAACAACCAACCACAAGAAACCTGTCACCTGACTATGGCATGACTTGCCCTGGAGCACCTCCTTCACTAGTCTGAACCTCCTAGTGTTTTATCTAGAATATTTTCTAGGAACTCTATCTCTGAGTAACATTCGTCTTCATGAATGTCCATTGCTCAACAGAAACGTGTGGAACATGGCAGGTAATGTCAATTGTTTTGAAAATCAGGTATGTGGAATACTTTTTTTCTCTCCTTCCTCTTTTTCTTTTTAAAAAAGTTATTTGTTGTAATGGATGGCTCTCCAGGAGAGGAGGAGAGGGATATAAGAGAAATCTAGGTGATTAAAAAAATACTGATAAAAATCCCTTTTTTGGAAAAAAAAAAACGTTCAATTTGAACAGAAGCAGTTAGAACAAGATCTCTGTCTCATTGTGCTCCTGTCTGATTTTAAGGTAATCCCAGACCAGAAGATGGCGGCTACCTCCAGTTTCTATGACTGTCAGCAACTCAACCAGGAAGAGGCCGATGGGTGACAATCACCAGAAGAACATGTGGGGTCTCCTTCCTCCATCATTACACATTAAAGAGCACAACGCTAAAAAAGAAGAAAGCCAATTCCAACAGTTTTTAGGAACTTGAATCGTTTTTTAACTGTGAACTTAGAAGACAAATCAATAATTCTTAAATTAAATATTACTCTGCCTACCCCTCATCTCAAGCTTAGTAAATGTTTACAAACATTCAGTCAATAAGCATTTATTAAGCACTCAGGTGCCTGGCACTGGGCTAAGTATTGAGGATGCAAAAAGAGGTAAAAAACAGTCCCTGCCCTCCAGCAGCTCCCAATCTAACATGGGGAGGGGGGGAGACAACAAGCAAACAAATACATACAAACAAGGTAAACAGGAAATAATCCACAGAGCGAAGACAACAGATTAAGAAGGGCTGGGCAAGACTTTCCTTCTTGGGGAAGGTGGGATGTTGGTGGGGACTTGAAGGAAGCCAGGGAGGTCAGTGGTCACAGTGGAGGAGGGCGACTGTTTCAGGCGTGGAGGATAGACACAGAATGCCCAGGGCTGAGAGATGGAGCCTTTTGTTCACAGGACAGCCAGAGGGCTGAAGTCACTGGATCAGCAAGGACCTGTCCCAGAGTGAGGCGTAAAAAGGCTGGGTTATGAAGGGCTTTGCCTGCCAAACGGAGCACTGTGTATTTGATCCTGGACCTAGGGCAGCTAGACGGTGCAGTGGATAGAAGGTGGGGCCTGGAATCAGGAGGACCTGAATTCAAATCCAGCTTCAGACTCTTAGTAGCTGTGTGACCCTAGGCAAGTCACTTCATCCTGTTTGCCTCATCAGTAAAATGAGCTGGAGAGGGAAATGGCAAACCACTCCAGTAGCTTTGCCAAGAAAACCCTAAATGGGGTCACGGAGAGTCCGACATGACTGAAAAATAACAATAGATCATGAATTCACAAAGACCTTTAAATTGACAAAGGAGCACTGGATAAAGTCAGGGCAGGGTAAGTGCAGCTGTCAGACTCCATCAGTGGCCAGAGGTTGATCCATCCTCCACCGTGTGCAATGAACCAATAAAGACTCAGAGTCCTGTGGTATTTGGGGGTCTGACCTCATTTCCAGGAGGCCTGGTCCTAATACACAATTTCCTTTCATTAAAAATCAGTGAATTCCCAAGAATGCCTAGATGGCATCAGTAATAATAATCAGGACACAAAACTGTTCCATGATATTAGGTCCATCAGACTATTCTCTGGTACCTCCTGAGAACCTAAGAGGTATGTATGCCTTAAAATGCAATTTAGGGATGCCATTCATGGGGGCACATAAATAAAAACAATAATAATTCTGCAAGTAACCATGTGAAAACGAGAAACGTGGTGACCAGTAAAACAGCATTGTAAAGACATTTCACTTTAGAACACTAGAGGGCGCAATGACTCAACAATACTGACACCTGGCGTGGAGGCATGTGGTTCCTACCTGAAGTCAACAAAACATTATGAATAACCTTAATTTTGGTTTGCATGTACTGCATATGTATCTTCAACACCAACTTTCAAGCTAAAATGTCGCTTGGCTCATCCAAATCCCATGCGCTCCTCTGGGTCTCCTGCAAAAGCACAGATTAAAAGGCACCAACCCACGGCCACCATTGTGAAGATCTGAAGAAGGATTCAGAGGCAGACCTGGACCAGCGGAGGGGCAGAGCAGGATGGGCAAACGCTCAGGGAACGACTCAGAAAGCCTCCAAGTAGCAACTAGAAACAAGCAGCCTACATCTCCCAATTTTTATTAGTCAATGGGAATTTTAAAATGGTTCTGGTAACATGGACACTGACTACAAATTCCAGCTGTTTAAATTAGCTAAGGTGGTCCTGCACTCTTGGCTACAATCAATACGTATCTTAGTAGTTCTAAAAAAGCTGACTGGAAATTCTCTACACAAGGCAAGCGTTATAAGCAGAGTTCCTACTGGCCACACAAACTCTACTTCTTACAACACGGAACTACAGGGAACAAAGAAGCCAAAACCTGACATTATGTTTGAACTTAATGTTCAAAATGTACAGCAGGAAATAAGGGACAGTATCAACCTCAAATCCACGAAGAACGGTCTGTGCTGTTTCTTTTGCTTTGGATCACTGCAAAGGAACACCAACGAGATGAGATTTTCATCAAAGTCATGAACTATTTTGTGAGAGACATCTTCAACGTGCAATCTACAACTTTCCCTGGGTAAAGATTCCAATTAAGAGACGACATCACACACACAGAACACAGCTTAATGGTGAAATGTATGGAGTCACGTTACAATCAACAATGCTTTTAGTACATTGGCTGCTTTGAACTCCTACATAATCACTTTGCTTTTAAGATACCATAGCAACAAAGGAAAAATTAAATTCAGAGGAACTGGTGGCCTGGAAAATAAACCTCCTCATCTTGTCACTCACCTGAAGCTACCCACTCCATCGTTACCACTGGGGCCTTAACTGCCAGATCCAAACGCCTTTTCCCACCCTCAGCCTCGTGGCCCACACCGTTGCCTCGGATGCTGCTGACCGCCACCCTCGTCTTAGCCTGGCCCTCCACCCTCTGCACTCCAGATGCCCCTCCTGCCTTGTCTCACACTCACTTCCCTTCCACAAACTCTACATGACACACATGACCCCTGGCACCGGCCCGACTGCTCGTTCTCAGTCTCCTTTGCCAGCCTGTCATGCGCCTCTCACTTCCTAACTGGGTGTACCCCGGAGCTCTGTGCAGGTCCTTCTCTTCTCTCTCTACACACTCCCAAGCGCCTGTGAATTTAACTATCTTCCTCCTCCCAGATCTACACACGCAGCCCCACCCACCGCAGAGTGCCATCAGATGCTTCCAACTGTCTGCCCCACAGACACCTCAAACTCGCTCACTGCCTTTTCCCAAAGCCACCCCTCTTCGGAACTTGCCTATTTCCGTCAAGGGCACCGCCACCTTCTGGCCTGCCCAGGCTCTCAAATGTGGTGTCCTCTCTGACTCCTTCCTCTCCTTGGTTCCTCCTAACTGAGCAGTTGCCAGATCCGTCATTTCTACCTCATGACATGTCTTTGCACCGGTTGTCCCTTGTGCCTGGACTGGAGTCACCCCCACCTCCATCTCTCAGAATCCCTTATTTCCTTCAAAGCTCAGAGGTAAGCCCCACCTTCACCCATCACACGAAGCCTTTCCCAATGTCCCCAGCCGCTACAGCTCCCCAACGGCCTCCCAACCTTGGATGTGGCAGGCAGGTAAGAAGCAGCTGCTGAATGGACACGCAAGTGAAGCTACGTGCTTTCTTCTGACATATAAACTGTTGTCTCTTCGAGGCTACCAGAAAAATGCATTATTCAAAAACAAGGTAAGATATAAATACCTGTATCCCATTGAGCTTAAATCAGGTTTCAGAGAAACCGTCTCTGTGGTGAGCTCCACCTTCCTCACGCTTCCAAAGAAATCCGTTATTAACACATTTTGAGGATTTCTCTGAAAAAGATCTGTCCGATGTCCAGGAGTCGAAACACACAAACTTTTGGGACACACCTGAAACTGTAAGATAACAGCAACACTAAGTATCATCACAATCACTTGCAACCACTGCATTTCCAGAGCCTACCAAGGGCCTTTCTAGGTGTTTCTTTCCACAAACCACATGAGCAATTCAAGGACCCAAGCTGGCATGGAGGCCACTTACTCTGTGCCATCTCCCACTTGCAGCGTCCGTCCCAAGAGTCCTCTCTCCTCCCCTGGCGCACTGACTCACTCTCATGGCTCTGAGCATCAATTCACGTCTCTCCAGCATCAGGCCATCTCTGCCGGGACGTCTGTCACACTCCGCCCTCAAACCAGGTACGGCCCAAACCAAGCTGATTCTTTTCCCACAAAAATGCAGTCCACAGCCATATCAATGAACCTGATCTTCATCCACAGAAACAGCCATTTTGTGGAAGTATCCCAGGGAAAACAGGGCTCAGCCCAACGCCCTCACAGGCAAAGCTCTCCCTGTACCCCAGGAGAACAGCCCATCGAGCTGAAGGACAAGCCAGGACCACGTAGTGTAGGCCTATCTTCAATGTCATCCTCAAAGACCCTTTCACATTCCTCACTAAGGTGCAGGGTTAACTGGACTGACCTCCAGCCTGTCAGATTCAGGAGGGGAAAGGCCCCAAGGCAATCTCCCAATCTCCAAGGTCACTCCTCTACTGTCAAGAGTATCAGCCAGGGCCCTGTTCAGTGACTCTGGGCCTAAGTGACCCTACTGAAGAAGTCCTTCTCTATGCTACTGTGAGATGGGTCTTCACTGTGAGTCCCTTCTGTTCCAAAGCCATCAGTGGGGCTCTAGGGCCTGACAGGAAAGGTAGAGAATGGAGAAAGGCCTGCAGGGCACTGGCTAAAGGAAGAGCTAAGTGGGCATGTTCCCAAGGCCGAGATGAGGGAAGTGTGGCCTGGCAGTGATGGTGCTAACAAAAGACCTGAGGGGTTGGGGGTCCACAACGTGACAGGGAAGAACACCAAGCAAGCTCAGGCTGCATGAAGAGAGATGGAAGGACAGAGAGAGCAGCATCCGGAGGAAAGGAGGCAGAGCTGGATCCGCTCCGGACACCACAGTCCAGAAGCATCCTGGTAACAGCGGGCAAGGCAAGACACTGAGAATGGAGAAAGACCTGCAGGGCACTGGTTAAAGGAAGAGCTAAGTGGGCATGGTCAGCCAGTAAAGTAGAAGACCTGGGTGGTGGAAGGGGGCTGACAGGCAGAGGGGACAGCCAGGAGAGGTCAGGCTTGCTCCAGGACAAACTTTCTAATCGAGTGGGAGGAAGTGGGAGGCCTTCCAGCCAAGACTGGATGAGGTCTGACTGGATGCAATGAGGACCTTCTCACTCGCCTACACTGATTCCATCAAGGCTCTCCACGTCCTCCTGATGCGCGTGTGACAAACACCACATCACTCCCCTGCCCGAAGACCATCAGGGCTTCTCCACAGAGGCGTTTCTCGGCCACCTACAAACTCATCTTCCTTGCCCAGGCTAGAAGGAGATCATGCAGGGAACTGGAATCAAGGGACCTCAGTAAAGCCTTTGTGGGCCTCCAAGCCAACCTCCTGATTCATCCAGGAATCTGCTCACAAAGGCTGGAATAAGCAAGAATACATCTTTTTTTCCCCCATATCCAAAGAACAAACCAACATGGCAGCAATGAAAGATACCGATGGCACTGCCATGAAATGTGGCCTAGAGCCTGTGGAATCAGCCAGATGGTGCAGCTCTTCTAGGCCCCTGAAGTGAGTGAAATGATACAAACGCCTCAGGACAGCATGGTACCAGGCGCAGGGCAGACATACTAGAGGGGAGGCGCCTGGGCGCGCAGGAAGAGGGACACCTGCACAAAGAGCTCACACTCTAGAAGGGCCATCTAAACCAAGTGTGTCAGAGGACTTCCAAGGGAAAAGTGGCGATGTCTGAGCAAAGCTTCCGACGGCTGCCGTGACCTCCGCAGGCGGAAGCACTGCACAGGCTTCAGGCACGGCCTGGTAATTCAACACAAAGGACAACACTGGCTGCAGCCTGCCGGCCACAAGCCAAGGCAGAGCCTTCCACAAAAATTTCTGGACAGACACATCTTCAGCTGAAATCTCTGGGAGAGCCACAAGGGATGCCCAGCATTCAGAAGTCTGAGATGGTGCACCCTGACACAGACATGGCGCAGAAGGCACAGAGAGCACCATTCCCGCCTGCCCGTGCCCCCATTAACACGACAGCATTGTAAAGGGAGCAAAGGCTTAACCTTCAGGAAGTATCACCACCGGCAGAGTTTTCCTTTAAGCCTGATTATCATAAGATGAATCTTCAACTTCACGTGGGCACTGAAGTATTTTGGTACATGAATGCAGTCGAATATTACTGTGCTATAAGGAATGAGGTCTTCAGAGAAGCCTGGAAAGACATGGATGAACTGAAGCCAAGAGAAGCAATCAGAACCAGCACATACGACAGCAACAACAGTAACTGACGCCGTAAAAGCCCAGACGGAGAAGGCGCCTCCACCTGCTCTCTGCTGAAGTGGGGAACTATGGGCATGGAACCAGGCCGGCTACTGGTGCTGAACTCTCTCTCTTTTTTTTTCTAAGGGGGAAGAAGAGGGCTATATTTGGTCCTGTAGGTACTGTAACAATAAGATAGCCAAATTTTATTCTAGAAAAAAATATATATAAATTTTTTAAAAACAGAGGTTTTCCCAGGTTTAAGTGGCAATGCCAAATAGTCCTACTCTGTCAGATTCGATTCCCCCCTTTGCTAAACTGTGCCCACCTCCCATAAAATATACCTGAAAAGATATGGCCAACAGAAGGTTCAGGTCAGAAACGGCCTCAGCATAGGCCTCCAACACACAGGACAATGATTCGGTATTTAGAGTGCTAAAAGTCAGAACCATGTTAAAACTTAGCAAAATCCCTGGCAGACCATCAATGGACTTGTGATACCTACACCCTCACCTGGCGTCTCTATCACAAATCGTACGAGGACATACTTACGAGATCGTTCATGTTGGCTTGGCTTGCCGGATGAATTTCTTCTAAAAATTCCAAGACATAAAATGTGTATCTATCCATCAGGTGGACTCCAATGGCAAGGTCGGGCTGATGCTGTCACAAAGGAAAGAAAGAGAAACATGAGCATCTGCCTACTGACTGGATGGTGGTGGCGGTGATGGAAGCAGAGGCAGCAGCACAAAGCCAGCCAGAGACACTGGATCACCACGATGGGAACAGGTACTCACTGAAAGGGAGTCTTCTCCTACTTGGCTACTGGCGAGCGCCATGACGTTGGGGGAATAGAAGCGCTCATACATGGATGCCCCTTGACAAGTATCGATAATAAACAGCATCTCGTGGTAGCTGAAAGACAAGAAGGGGCTCGGTGACGAGGGAGGCATCAGACCACTTCTCTTAGCACGCAGGATGCAGAAGTCCATCCAATTAATGGCCTAAAAATTCCAATGCCCTTCAACAGCATTCGTTCTAAGGGAGATCTGGAAAAGGGCTCAATTCAATCCCAAGTCCTAAGGTCCTACCCCACCCTATGGAACACTAGCTAATCAAAGTGTCACCTCCCCAGCAACTTTCCCTTTCCTGCCAAGAGTCCTGAGTCAATCAACACTGATTAAGCACCTACTGTGTGCTGGCCCTAGGCCAGGGATACAAAGAAAGGCAACGGACAGTCCCTGTCCTCAATGAGTTCCCAGCCCCAATGGGGAGACAGTGTGAGAGGCGGGAAAGTGGGAGAGAACATATTTTGAGGTAGGCAAGCGTCCGAGTCGATGTCATCTTGCAGAAAGATGAGTTTCTGGTGATGATCAAGTCCAAGAGAGCAACCAGAAGGGAAATAATGAGGAGAATTCCCTGAGTGCCCTCCTTGAAGGGAGGAGGTTGGGGAGGGGCCCTCTGATGTACACCCTCCATCTTCTCCTGCCTGCTCCTGATAATTCTGCACTACCACCACCATCACCATCACCAAACATTTAACATTTACTTTGCACTTTTAAGGTTGTAAAGTATTTCACAAGCAAGTCATTGCCCCTTGGCCTGCCTCAGTATCCTCATCTGTAAAATGGGGATCATAACAGCACCTACCTCCCAGGGTGGTTGTGAAGATAAAAATGAGACAGTATTTGTTAAGTGTAAATTTGCTTTATAAACTTTAAAGTGCTCTTATCTAATCAATCACCCTGCCTCTCTATGTGTCCTAGGCTCTCTGGCCACAGAAACCCTCTCTCAATCACCCACAGTGACTCCCTACAGCCTTACCAAGTTGGGCACACGTAGCTGCTACTGAAGGTTGCCCAGGGTCTGAGTCCCTATCGGTCAGCCCTCCTCCCCTGACCACAGCCGCCATTCCACCAAACCATCACTCACCATCTCCCAGCTCCTTCCCTCTCCCCACAGCTCTCGTGACTAGAGTAGATGCCTCCCTCCACTCACCTCCATGTATTAAAATGTTTCCCTTTCTTGAAGGTCTAACTCGTACCCTCAACTCCCCTCCTGGAGCTTCTCAGAGCCCTCAAGGATCTGCCCTTTAGACTATTTCTAATTTGTACTCTTCTTATTACTGAAATGTCTTGTCTCTCCCCCAGGCCAAGATGCTAACCTCCAGGAGGAACAGGGCAGCTTCATTCACCCAGCATTCCTCAGAGCTCCCTGAAGAGAGTAAGCACTTAACACGTGGTGACTGAATTTAATTAAAAACTCTTTCCCATATCCCAAAAGGACACGGACCTAACTGAAGACAGAGGGCACAAGCTCTCAGTGGGGCTCAGCCTCTCTGTCACTGACCTGGGGCAAGCCCCCTCCCTCTTCATTGACCAGACCTCCAAGGACCCTCCCACTCTGTGTTCCTAGGACATTCTGCCCAATTCATCTTAGGAAAATAAGTGATTTCTTACCGTCTCTTCTGCCACATCTGTTCAAATGCATCAGCAAGTTCAACATTGGTGATTTCTTCAGAGTCCTGGAATTTCAAGAAGCCGTTCCCACCATGGCCTTGTGGGAAAAGAAAACAGTAAATTACTGGGTGGACGTGTGTGTGTGTGTGTGTGTGTACACACAGGGAATTCACAGCCAAGACGGGCTTTCAGATGTCATTTTTACCCCCTAAAATAATTAACTCTGCGAGAGGTGAACTGGATTTTCAAATTTTCATTGAGAAGGGAAACAAGATGGATGAGTAAATTCTGAATTTCAGATTCCCCAAATCCTGGAGCTTTCTTCCCACCAACAGTGCTCAATCTAAAGAAAATTTGCCAAACAAGAAAAAAAAAAGTATGGCAAACCCTCTTCTCTCACTGAGCTCCATCCCAAAATCAGACGTGACTGTCCATGGGCAGGGCAGGACACCCCTAACAGATCAAGAGACAGCCATGTTTTAGGAAAGATGCATGTCTAGGAGGAGGAGAGGGAAGGATTGTTTCTCCAGCATCTACTATGTGCCAGGCATTAGGCACTGGGAGCGTTACAAACATCATCTCAACAATGATGTCTAAAAGACTATCCCCAGCAGACCGAGAGGCCTGGAGACAGCATCGTAGGACCCAGACCTAAAGATGAGGTGGCAGGGAGGGGGGCAGGAAGGGCATGACCATCCTCTGCAGCCTCCTCACATAAAAGAAAGCCTGAACGAGCCAGGCTGGTTTCCAATGGCAAAGCCAGAGCAGTGAGGAAGACGTAAGACTTGGCTGGTGTGCAGGCAGCCACCAGCAATCAGGTCTGTCCAAAAGCGGACACGTCAAGAGGACGTGGGCTTCCTGGCTCCCTGGCACTGATGCAAAGGCTGACTGCCACTTGTCCACAACGTTACAGAAGAGACTGTGGCCAGGGGTGGCTAGAGCCCCATGGCCTCTGAGGTTCCTTCTGGTTCTATGAGGCTGCCATTCTACCCTCCCAATAGAGACCACCATCTAGGCCAATCCAGCCAACCATGGACAGTGTACTGGGCACTACAAGCCACCACCAGGCCAAGGTTCCTGGGAGCTAAAGGGGAAGTCTTGTTTTCACTGCAAACATGTCCCTCTCTGGTTTATCTCTAGCCATCAGTCTCCAACTGTGTAGGATCAAGGGTGTTCATTCCCACCATGTGGGCATCATCTCCTCCTTCAAGGCATAACTCTCAGAAATGACCACCTGTCCCACCCACTGAAGTGGTAACACAAGGTTGACCAAGAAAACGTAGGAGGCTAGCAGATTGCACTGTGCTAACCCAAGCCATACTCTGGCCTGAAAAGTCCTTGAAGAACATGTCAAAATCATTCATTCCCTTATTTGCTTCCTATAAGTTCTAAATTCTGGATAACGAGTTATACTGAACGTAATACCGAATGACTGGACGAGAATATACCCAGGAGACGGGCTAGCTCAGTTCAGTAGCTCGGCCACTACTTGGCTGAGTCAAAGTGGAAAACATCAGGGAAGTTCTGCTTCATGTCCTGAGAGATGGGTTCACCGCTCCCAGGCAATATTATGAAAAATAAAAATAAAAATAAAAAATGGCAAAGGACGCCATCTCAGCTTAGGGACATTCACATAATTATGCACACATAAATTCATTCTCATGTGCAATTATATGACAGCAAATTGTTATTCAAAATGTACCTAGTTTTTACTTTAAGCAATTTTCTCTTCTGATAAGATTCTTGCACTAAAAGTTCAAAGACATTCAGGGAAATCAAGTCAAACCCACTCGAAATCCTTGACTTACCCGTCATGTATATCAGAACATTGCTTCTATCATCAGAAAGAAGACGTTTGGATCGAGGAGCGCTAGGTGGGACTCTTCCCGTTAACACACGCAAAAAATTCTCCACAGTCACCTGAAAAAAATATTTCTCAGTCCATTTCTGGCTCCAGACAATCCGTCGAATGATTTTTCTCTCCCTCCTGCTTTTCTACATTACTGTTTTAGAATATGACAACATTTACAATTTATAATATTAGTAATGACAAAACTTAGTTTACAAAGACTTCTCCTTTCCTGCAGTCACTTAAGATAGAGCCATTTAAATGCCTGCATCACCAGATACTTTATAAAAATTGTAAAATTATTAACCCTAACCCTAAACGTGCTCTAGGTCACCATGAAGAAATGCATCAAGTCAATCTAATATTTAAATCACGTAAAAGATGCAGTGGGTGCTTTAAGAAATGCCTACAACAGGGGCAGCTAAGTGGCACAGTGGACAGAGCACCGGCCTTGGAGTCAGGAGGACCTGAGTTCAAATCCGGCCTCAGACACATAACAGTCACTAGCTGTAGGACTCTGGGCAAGTCACTTAACGCCAACTGCCTCACAAAAAAAAAAAATGCCTACAACTGCCTTGTAGGGATTCACCAAGAAATGCCCCTGTCCCAAAGCTCAAATCCTCCCGATGCTTTCCTTGTGGTGGAGCTACCCAGAATCCCCAATGTCGGCGCACGGGGGTGGCTCTTAGAGTGTCCTTAATCCACTGCCAGTCACTCATGCCAATGAAGGGCCACATAAAATGAGATGGGTCTCTCTTTGGCCTCTCCATGCACTGATCTGCCCCTCCACAACACCAGATGCCCAATCACCAAGTCCCACACTATACAAACCCCACTAAGGACGAGGTGGGAAGCTGCCCCATGGGACCACGTGAAGATGGCACTCAGACCCTGGGACTCTGGGCCCTGCCTTTCCTAGGGGAAGAGGCTCTTGTCTCCAGAGGCCTTCCTGCAGGGGTCACTGACTCAGGGCTTAGGTCTCAAAAAAGGGACCATCATCACATAACAAATGCTCTTTCAGCTGAAGCACGTACGGGGAAAACGCAGCCTTGGGAATGCCTTGAAACTGCTTTAGGAGGGAGTCTGAACCTCACAGGCCACAAAGTCAAAGCCAGAAAGGACCAGCAGGTTGCCCAAGGTGGCACGGCAGCTACTTCGCTGTCAACCCTGGAGCCCGCCTCACTGCTACAGGTCTACCCAGAACCCCAGCCAAGACTGACCAAAGGAAGTAGGAGAAGGCCCTGGTCTGGACGCTCCTGCTGACCACTCCTGGGGCCATCAAAGGGAAATGCTGTCATTAAGCCCATGCGGTACACAGCTCCAGATATTTCCATCCTAAGGATGGCTCACCAGACACTTACTAACAAATAAACATTCTCTGTGAAAACAAACACGTTTCTCAGGGGGCGGAGCCAAGATGGCAGAGGGAAAGCAGTGACTGTCTTGAGCTCTCTCCCAAAGCCCTCCAAATACCTAAAAAAAATGGCTCTAAACAAAGCAGCAGAACCCACAAAAAGAGAGAGTGAAACAAATTTCCAGCCAAAGACAGCCTGGATGGTTGACTGGAAAGGTATATTGCGCCAGGCAGGGAGAGGAGCACAGCTCGGCGTGGGCGCGCAGGACACAGCGACCCTGGAGCAGGTCTCAGTGGGCTGAATCGCGGGCAGCTGTGGTGATTTCCAGATTTCTCAACCCCTGAACGTCAAAGACAACTTAGAAGGTCAGTGGGAAAAGTCTGTGACTGCAGTGAGAGAGGAGCTAGGTCTCAGTCATAAGTCTCAAGCACGGCCCAGGGCTGCAGCTGTTTCCTGAGCTTCAGGCCCACAGACTGAGGGGGAATCGAGTGGCTGATCAGAGGGGCACTGCAGGGATCTCTTTCCCAGTGCTGAGACAGGAATCTCTTGCTTTACCAGTGCTTAGATCTGGGTCACAGTTCTGAGGGGCTGTCCTGGGGCGAGGAGGTGCGCTGGTGCAGTGGAGCTTGTTGTGGTGATGGAGAGAAAACACCTAGCCCCTTATCATACCACCTTGGAAGAACTGACACTTTTCAGGTCCCTAGAAGTACCTCTGAAAACAGCTGTACAAACCCCCAAAGCTTGGGAAAGTACATTCTCCACATTGGAAGCAGACTTTTACCTTAACAAAGAGTTTAAAACTCAAGTAATTGGCCGGGATCATGAGTAAGCAGCGCAAAAAGAGTTAGACTATATTATCTTACTTTGGTGACAAAGAAGATCAAAACATACAACCAGAAGAAGACAACAAAGTCAAAGCTCCTACATCCAAAGCCTCCAAGAAGAATATGAATCAGTCTCAGGCCTTGGAAGTGCTCAAAAGGGATTTTTAGAAGCAAGTAAGAGAAGTAGAGGAAAAACTGAGAGTGATGCAAGAAAATCATGAAAAACAAGTCAACAGCTTGCTAAAGGAGACCCAAAAAAATACTGAAGAAAATAACACCTTAAAAAATAACTTAACCCAAATGGCAAAAGAGATCCAAAAAGCCAATGAGGAGAAGAATGCCCTAAAAAGCAAAATTGGCCAAATGGAAAAGGAAGTCCAAAAGATTACTGAAGAAAATACTTCCTTAAAAATTAGAATAGAGCAATTGGAAGTTAGTGACTTTATGAGAAATCAAGACACCGTAAAATAAATCCAAAAGAATGAAAAACTAGAAAACAATGTAAAATATCTCATTGGAAAAACAGCTGACCTGGAAAATAGATCCAGGAGAGAGAATTTAAAAATTATTGAACTATCTGAAAGCCATGACCAAAAAAAGAGCCTAGATATCATCTTTCAAGAAATTATCAAGGAAAACTGTCCTGATATTTTAGAACCAGAAGGCAAAATAGAAATTGAAAGAATCCACCAATCTCCTGAAAGAGATCCCCAAAGGAAAACTCCTAGGAATATTGTAGCCAAATTCCAGAGTTCCCAGGTAAAGGAGAAAATATATTTTTTTTAAATTTTTTATTAATTTATTTTGATTTATCAATAATCACTTCCATATGCTTTTGAGTTTAAAATTTTTCTCCCCCTTCCACCCCACCACCCTCCCCAAGACAGTGCACAATCTGATATAGGCTATACATTTACATTCATATTAAACGTATTTTGACATTAGTGATGTTGTAAGTAGATATTAAAACCAATAGGAGAAACCATCAGAAAGAGGAAACAAAACTCAACAGAAGAGAAAAAAAAATAACAATTCGGCTTCCACAGTTCTTTGTTTGAGTGTGGATAGCATTTTCCATCACAAGGCCTCTGGAGCAAGGGGAAAATATTACAAGCAGCCAGAAAGAAACAATTCAAGTATTGTGGAAATACAATCAGGATAACACAAGATTTAGCTGCTTCTACATTAAGGGACCACAGGGCATGGAATATAATATTCCAGAGAGCAAAGGAGATAGGATTACAACCAAGAATCACCTACCCAGCAAAACCGAGTATAATCCTGCAGGGGAAAAAATGGTCATTCGGTGAAATAGAGGACTTTCCAGCATTCTTGATGAAAAGACCAGAGTTGAATAGAAAATCTGATTTTCAAATACAAGACTCGAGTGGAACATGAAGAGGTAAACAGGAAAGAGAAATCATAAGAGACTTATTAAGGTTGAACTGTTTACATTCCTGCATGGAAAGACAATATTTGTAACTCATGAGACCTTTGTCAGTATTAGGGTAGTTGGAGGGGAAAAATTATATGTACATATATATAGATATAGATAGATAGATAGATAGATAGAGGGCACAGGGTGAGTTGAAAATGAAGGAGTCATATCTGGAGAATAAAATTAAGGGGTGAGAGAGGAATATACTAGGAGAAGGAGAAAGGGAGAGGTAGAATGGGGTAAATTATCCCACAAAAAAAAACAAAACAGAAAAGAAAAGGCTCTTACAGTGGAGGGGAAATGGGGGAAGGTGAGAGGGAATGAGTGAATCTTATTCTCATAGGATTTGACTTAAGGAGGGAATAACATACACACTCAATTGGGTGTGGAAATCTGTCTTACCCTACAGGAAAATAGGGGGGAAGGGGACAAGAGAGTAGAGGAATGATAGAAAGGAGGGCAGATTGGGAAAGGCAGTAATCAGAAGCAAATACTTTTGAGGAGGGACAGGGTCAAAAGAAAGAATAGAATAAATGGGGGGGCGGGATAGGATTAAGGGAAATAGAGTTAGTTTTTCACAGCATGTCTACTATGGAAGTGTTGTGCATAACTGCACATGTATAATCTATATTGAGTTGCTCGCCTTTTCAATGAGGGTGGATGGGAAGGGAGGAAGGCAAACAATTTGGAACCCAAAGTTTTAAAAACACATGTTTAAAAAAAAATGTTTTCACATGCAACTGGGAAATAAGAAATACAGGAAATGGGGTACAGAAATCCATCCTGCCCTACAGGAAAATTGAAGGGGAGGGGGAATAAGAGAAAGGGAAGAGAGATAGAAGGGAAGGCAGACTAGGGGAAGGGGTATTCAGAATACATGCCATCTTGGGGTGAAGGGAGGGGAGAGATGGGGTGAAAATTTGGAACTCAAAATCTTGTGGAAGTAAATGTTGAAAACAAAAAATAAACAAATCTTCCTGTAAAAAAAAAAAGAGCATAAAGACATAAATAGGAAAAAAAAAAGATTTTTTAGGATGATCTTATATTCCAAACTAGTATTGCCTTTGGATACTATAGCTCTCTACTTGCCAAATAAATTCAGTTTGCTAAAAGGCAAAAAAAAACAAAAAACAAAAAACAAAAAAACGATTTTCTCTTCATGGCCTCATGACTGCATGGAGGTGACTGGTCCTCAGAAGACTCCAAGAAGTCTTGTTGGCATCTGCTGCCCAAAGACCTGGCTAGCTCAGTACAAAGAGAAACATCATGGGAAGTTGGTGGAATGGAATGGAATAAGCATTTAGAAAGTCTCTGTGCCAGGCACTGTGCTGAGCTCCTCATGCGGTCCTCAGGCAATGAAGGGGGAACGGTGCCCGGCCTGGAGGGGGCCAAGTGTGGCTGTCCTGACTTTCCAAACTGGGAGGAGACTAGAATCTGCAAACCAGAGGCTGGCAAGTCGGGCCTTGACCTCTCAGAGAATTCTAGAAGAGACTGTTTAACACTGGCCCAAGCGTGTGGTCAATCTGCCCCTCTTCACTGATCCACTGATCGGCCAACAGAAAGAAAAGGAATGATTACAGAAAGCCGGGTGGCTTCTTCAAGCACGGATCCTACCCAATTAAGCACATTTCCTTTTTGTTACAGGGTTAGGAGATCAAGAAAAAGTGGGAGACCGAGCAGCCTACATGTCACCGTGGGGAGAACCCTACAACTGACAAACCAAGGAATCAGGCCGGGCTGTCGTATCTTTGACAAGGCCTACGGTCAAGATTTACACACAAAGTGGGGAAAGGGACGAGCCCATCTGGCTGAGAGGAAGCGGGCCAGCATGGTGGGAACATAGGCAGGAAAGGTGACGGGCGTGAGACAGAGGTAAGAGGCACGCAAGCCGAGAAGTCTGCCTCTTGTCCTGGAGCCAAGAACCAGGAAGGCAACAGAGAGTCTTAAACAAAAGACAGACACCATCAGAACTGTGCTGTAGGAAGAATGTTTGCCTACTGTGCGGAGGATGAATGAGATGCGGGGCCCAGAACTGTCCAAGGTGCCAAAAAAACCACTGAGGCAGAGTTCTGAGCCAAGAGCACTTGATTAAAGGGTCCATGGCCCCTGTAATGGAGTGGACCTCAGACCTTCCTCATGATCTGAGATGCCCCTGGACCCCGGACCTTCTAGGGTGTGATACCCAAATGTGCAAAAGAGGTGTGCTAAGATACAGAATCTCACTGGGTGACAGACCTTGCTCCTGAGGGCCAAAAGTGACATATTAACAGGGAGGTCACAGGCTGGGCGACGCACAGGACATCCCTACTGATGAAGCAGTCACAAGATGGGCAAGGAAGGGTCATCCCCAGTGACCAAGTGGTCACAAGGTGGCTACCTGCTCATGGGTGACAAGACAAGGTGCTCCAGCAGTACAAAAGTAAGTTGGAGGGCTTTCCAAAGAATCAAGGCACCCCACCCACGCCGGAGTTAGACATGGAATGTGAGCAGAACAGGAGGGAGATCTCTGTCAGCGTTCTTGTGGCTGCACAAATGAGCTTCCTAACGGGTGAGCAGGTGGTGAACGTCAGGTTAAAGTCTGCGGCCTACTAGGTTGGAGGACCTATCTCATCTAATTCTCCCTATATGATTTCTGCAAAATATCAAATTGACTATTACTGATTGGAATAGAGCAGGGTGGAACTGACCGAGGGCAGTGGCCATCTGAGTGGGAAGGGGTGGATGAAGGAGAATGGACGATCAATCAATCAATCAGCCTTTATTAAGAGTGTGAGGTGTAACGAGTGCTGTGATAGGCATCAGGCCAATAAACACAAACAGAGATGGGGTCCCGGCCTTCAAGGACCTTATATGCCACTGGGAGGGAGGCAACATACAATCCATGGGAAAGAAACACAAAGTGGCCAGGGAAGTCAGGGAAAATGGACAACTGGGTGGATGGGGAAAGGCCCACTGAAGGAGACCGCGCTTGAGCTGCGCCTGGCAGGGAGCCAGGGGCTCCAAAGCAGGGAGTAGGGGAGGCATTCCAGGCCTGGGGGGCAGTTTCTGCAGAGCCTGAGAGGGGGTGATGTGGAAGGTCATCTACAAGGAACAGCAAGGAAGCCTGCTTGGCTGGAGGACAGAGGAGATGAGGGAAATAAGGAGCTCGGGCCTAGAAAGTCAGGATGGGGCCCAACGGCCATGGTCTTTAGATGTCAACAGAGGGCCTTCTATTTGCCCAAAAGGCCACGAGGCGCCCTGAAACATCACGAAGATGGGAGTCATGCAGTCACAACAATCCGGCAGCTATTCGAAGGAGCAACTGGAAACCTGTGGTAGGGGATCAATCAGACTCTCGCAAGGCCCCAGGCTGGATATGGTGAGCGCCTGGACTAGAGAGAAGAGGGGGGATGCGGAAGGAGCCAAGAGCAAGGTGGGCTTACTGCCACCTATGGAGCCCTCCAAGTCACTAGCCAAAGGGACAAGAAACGAGGAAGGGAGGAGAGCAGGGGCAGGTGGGGAAGGAAGAGCCACAGCCTGCCTTTGTGAAGCACCTGGCTGGAGATCCTACAGCACACCCACTGGGGATGGACCACGGCCAGTTGGAGACGTGTGAACCAGGCCAGACGGGGACGCTTCACTAAAGACGTGGTCGCTGGATCTGCAGGAATAATGGTGAAAGGGAGGTGGGCCCAGGACAGCACCCTGGGGAACAGCCACAGAAAAGGGCAAGACATGGATGGTGATCGACCTGCAGAAAAGGCTGAGACCCAGCAGGCGGGCAGGCAGACGTGAGCCCCGAGAGGCCAGGTTGGGCCAGAGTGTCCAGGAGAGGCAATGTTCCACAGAGCTATGCATTCCTGGCACAGAGGACAGCCAGAGCGAAGCCCCACGAGGGAGGATGGCATACTATACTGCATCTGGGGAACACAAGGCTGGCTCAGCTGGGTTATGGGGGGCAGGAAATGTGGAAAGGCAGGTAAAAGGGTTTGAATGATCCCGGAGGCCATGGGAGTTGGTCAGACGTGGATCTTAGAATCTCTGCTGGGCATGTCTGATGGAGGGCCCTGAAGGAGGAGCCAACAGGGAGAAGAGGGACCTGGGGAGAGAGGTTCAAAAGCATGAATGTCCAGGGGAAGGAACATTTGGTCCTGTAATACCAAAGCAAAGGTGAAGGGCAGGAGGGAGGATGCTGAGGGCACTGAAATAGTGAACTAGGAAGATGAAGAGGGCCAGATAAATGGGCACCTGCCCATGAAGGGTTCAAGAAACAAGACCGTGGAAGGCCCAGCCAAAACCGGCTAACCTAACTCTGGAGTGGACCCATTCAACACAGTTGGACCTTCTCTAGCCATGTTCAGCAGTAGCTGAGCAGGGGCAGGTGGGGGGATGAGCTACAGCAAGATGACAGGGCAAGGCATTCGGGGGCCCAGGGGTCCTCAAGCTGAACTGGCTAACCAAAGGGTCCGCATTTTGAAGGTCGAATAGCAAGGTCAGAGCAAGGGGACGGCCTGGGAAAGCAGAGGGGCTGCGGGACGCCTGCAGGCTGCAGTAAGGACAGAGAACGGGCGGAGGGGGCGTGAGGCACAGTTAGAAGTAGAAGTACAAGGGGACAAGGCCAAAAGAGAAGAATTTCCAAATTACGGACTGAGGAGACGGAACACTTCCGGTCATGATGAGATCGAGGACGGCTAGATCTGGAGGCTGACTGATGGCGGGGGCTGGGAGAGCAAACCCCGGGGGGCAGACCCAGGCAGACAAGCTGGTGACTGGAGGGAGGCAGATTTCAGGTCAACGTGAGGAAGAACATCTGAAACGTGCCACAGACAAAGGCAGAGGGAGCAGTCACTGAGAGGCCTGTGCGGGGGACCAGAAGACCTCGGAGGACGCATCCAAACCTCATTCTGGCCATCTGTCTAGCATGAGGATGCGTGATGTGCATGGCTAAACGGCACACTCGTGCAGAGAAAGTCACAGATCCTTGATGCACTTGATTTTGTGCCATGAATCCTAATGGTAACCGGAGGCTGCATCTGGACTCCGTGTGTCCGAGACCTGGATCTGGACCTCAGCAGCTCCAAAATCCCACGTCCTGTGCTCTGTGAGCCTTCCCTGTGTCTTCCCTTATTCGGTGCGATAACCAATGCTTTTGAGTAAATAGCAAGAATGAATCATTCCAGAATACAAAGACAGACACATGAAGACTGCTTAGGATAACAGAATATTAGAGAAGTACTAGCTGACTGGTGTCTATTTTTTTGGTTTTGGTTTTTTTAGGCAATAGGGGTTAAGTGACTTGGCCAGGGTCACACAGCTAGTGAGTGTTTGCGGGCAGATTTGAACTCAGATTCTCCTGACTCTGAGGCCGGTGCTCTATCCGTGGCACCATCTAGCTGCCTCCTGGCATCTATTTCTTTAAAGGGTGGAGCTGATACCCAGAGTCCTTAAAACCCAGGAGAAGGAAAATGTATTTGGTTCCAACATCTGAATTGATTACTTTCATTAGAAGTTCATTGAGTGTGCACAGAAAATGACTTTGAGCTAACAGGATAATAAATTTCGACCCACTGCACTTGTGCCCCAGCCCTGAAACAAAGAAGACAACAAAGGTCCTCTAGGTGCGGCGGGGAAATAGCAGGGAGAATGACATCAGTCCAATCCAGGTGGGGGAACTAAGAACTAAGAATGCACGAAAAACAACGGAAGTCTCGGGTTCACTAACGGCATCATAAAACGTAAAAACATGCTTCTAAATTAAACCACTTACCTCATAGCTTCTGTAATCGACCTCCACGTCATCTCCATAAACATTCAGTTCCATGTTTTTGTGACTGAACACGGTCGCTGGCTTAGGATTTCTGGGGTTACACGCCATGTCATCAGCAAGCATCAGGACAATGTGGCTGGAAGAAACAAAAAGAATCCTAACTCACGTCCTACCAGGGAAAAAGGATGCAAAAGTCAGCTTTATCAGTGAGGAAGAACAACTAAATTTATTACTGTACGAATTAAGAGTCGCTCAAGAAATTAGAATACATGTTCAAGGTCATTTCCATGATTTTTAATGTGCTTACATTGTATGGGTTAAAAAAAAAAAAAGAAAAGGAAAGAAAGAAATAAGGTCTCCACAGTTACTGATGAGGACAAAAAGTTAGTTTCTCTTTTTTTGGCGAGGCAATTGGAGTTAAGTGACCTGCCCAGGGTCACACAGCTGTCAAGTGTCTGGTCTGAGGCAGGATTTGAACTCAGGTTCTCCTGACTCCATGCCCGGTGCTCTATCCAATGCGCCACCCAGTTGCCCCAAGAAATTAGTTTCTTTATATGTTAATTGTTTTTCTCAACTAGACAATTAGACAAAGTTCTACATTTAATACAGGAAAAGCCACTAGGATGAAAGTGTCTAGCTTCCCTTATGAAAAGTTTTCAATTTAATTTACTATAGGTACATGTCTAACTTTATCACGAAAATTACCACAAAAATACAACTTACTTAGAAATTGCTTTCTAACTGTTCTGTTCAATCATAGGGATTTTACAAAGCAGGAGAGTAAAACTGCAAAGTACAATGTATACTATAAACTAAGACCTATATACCAATCATTACAATGGAGTAGATTCATGAAAAAATACCATTTAAGTTACATAGGATCATATCATTTTTTAAAATATTTTTTATAATTTAACTGTATTTCCAGTCCTAGAATTTGAAGACTTCCATAGGAATCTTTCATTCTGTGAACTCTTGGTTTGAGAAAAAGTCACCGATTTCAGCCTGGAATACCACTGCTCTTCAGTTCAGTTCATTCCACAAACATGCGCTCAGACTTCACTGCCAACGGGGCAAGCTAAACTGCCTGCCTTGATAGAGTTTACTGTCCAGGGAAAGCATAAAATACACAGAAAATGTTGATAATCATACAAAAAATAGATAAGACATTCATTAGAGTGGAGCATAGGAAAGTGGGGTTGAGGGAGAATTCACAAAGAAGGGAGAAACTCTGAAAATTTATAGAGGAAACAATATTTCAAATTTTTTTCTTAAGTGGACCATGAATTTCAACAAAAGCAGAGTGGATACCAACTATGATTATTTTGTTCAGAGGTTTAGCCAAAGTAAACTGAGGCCATAATTCAGAGACCAAAGAGGCCAGAAGGCAAAGATTCAATTAAGCCACCAAAGTCCCCAAGTGGAACATAAGCTCATCTATAAAATGCTAAGAAGAAAGATGGTGGGTGACTACGGCCAATTCCGTCTCAGGAAGCAGAGAAAAGCAATGGAGAGGAAAGCCAGGTTAAAGAAAACTCAGCAAGTTATCACTCAATGCTGATGAAGAATACAAAGCGCAGGGCACCCCAAGGGCATCAAGGTTGAAATGGAAGGACTACAAAGAAAAAAGAAAAGCTTCTCAGATGGCTGGTGGAGACGTGAACTGGGCCATCCATTCTGGGGAGCAATTTGGAATGATGCCCAAAGGGCTATTAAAAGGCATGACCCAGCCATGCCACCAATGGCTATACCTCAAGGAGATCCAAAAAAGAGCAAAGGAAAAGCCAAAAAAAAATGTATAAAAATATTTATAGCAGCTCTGTGTGTGGTGGCAAAGAACTGGAAATTGAGGGGATGCCCATCACTTGGGGAATGACTAAACAAGTTGTGATATAGAATTGTGATGGAATATTACTGTGCTATAAGAAATGACAAGCAGTACAGCTTCAGAAAAACCTGGGAAGACTTAGGTGAACTGATGTAAAGTAAAGTGAACAGAACCAGGAGAACATTGTACACAGTTACAGCAATATTGTACAATGATCAACTGTGAAAAATTTAGCTACTCTGATCAAGAAGATGATCTAAGACAATGCCAAAGGATTCATAATGAAAAATGCTCTCCACCTCCAGAGAGAGAACAGATGGATTCTGAGTGTAGACTGACGCAGACTTTTTTCACTTTCTTTATTTTTCTTTCTTTTTTTTTTTTTGCAATATGGCTAATGTGGACACATGCTATGCATCAATGTCATATTCTGAATGGGTGGGGGAAGGTATGGAAGGAGGGAAAGAATTTGTAACTCAAAACTTAAAAAAAGAATTGTAAAAAAAAAAAAAAAGGCTGAATATGGGAAAAACAGAAAGATGCCAGCAAGTGTGTGCATTGAGAGGAGACCCATACTGGCAGCAACCTCATTCTGAGGGTGCTGAGGGACTGGTCAACATACAGAGTAGCTGAAGGAAGGGAAGATGCCAAAGGCATGGAAAACATGTCAGATCTTATTCATACAAAAAAAAAAAGGTGATCAAGAGATCGTCAACAACTACCTCTGTGCTTCCTCACCCACTTCCACAAAATCCTAGTGAGTGTCTCTCCCTGAACTGAAGGTGCTCTCAGTGACTGCCCATAAGGAACAAGCAGGGTTTCACAAGTAATATCCATCCACAGACCACATCTTGACTATCTCTCAATGTACCGAAATGATGGCAAGTATGAGATAACGATTGTGCTACTGTTTGTTGCTGGTTGCATAAAACACCCCCTTCCCTCAAGCCTCCTATGCACCAAACTGATTCTGTTTACAATTCAGACAATTCACTAATCCAGGTACTACTGGCCCAAGTGAGCTAAAGAATACACAGAAGAGAGCCACCACCAGGGTAAAAGGCTTCCTGTTCATATACTGTGGATACAGAAGGAACAGGGGATATTCCACCTACAGGAGGGAAGACCCTAGGGGAGCAGAATGGCCGCCTTCTATGACCCTGACCACCATCACACAGAAAAGGGCAAAGGCCTCTTGCGACTGGCCAGTGGGCAGGACTTGTCCCAAAGGGGAGAAGTTACTGATGCAAATTTAGATTTGAGATCGCAGAATTTCCTAACAATGAGAGGTGCTCCAAAGTCAAACAGGCTGGGTGGCTAATGTTGGGGGGTACTTCAGAAGGGCACATGCCCATTAACATCCCTCCCTCTGAAATTATGTCCTGGGGAGCATGGAAAGAAGGTGTATCCGAGACTGGAGAGGGTGTCCAGGGATGCAATGCCTTGAAAACAGCACAAGAGTAAGAGGGCTGAGACGTCAAGAGAAGGAAGGTTCTAGAGGGCACAGAGAACAAAATTAAGGAACAAAATTTCAAAAATTCAGCTAAATCAAAGTCAAGAGTAATTCTCTTCACTAATACATGATAAATACCACTGGGCTTGAAATAGAGCAACTGTTCAGTCATTCAAGCATAAAACCGGGCTGCCCAAACACAGAATAAACTAATGAAGCATATGTGATTAGCTTCAAGTAGCAAATGTTCTGCTGCATATGTTCAAGATACGTTAAAGTTCAAAACTGAAACATTATGAAAACTGGCGAGATTTCTATTTTGAAAGAAGAGCTGCCAAATTCAAAGATCATCTCTTCAGCTGCTTATGACTCATACTAAGAAAGGAATAAAAAGCTATCCTTCCATAATGAAAAACATATCTTCCCTCTTATATAATGAAGCTGCTTATATTGGAGCAATTAAACTGACCCTGACATTAAAACATAAAGGGGCCAGCTTGGTCGTTTCTGACAGATGCTTCCATCTTGGTACTGGACGGCGTCTCAACACCGACGGCACCATAGAAAGGGCCTTTGTTCCATTTCGAGCAATGACTTTCTACGATGTCCTAAATGACGTCTCCAAGCCACAGTGCTGACGTTATCTGTAGCATACTTTACTCACTACTATCGCCATCAAACCACCACCATCACATCTGGCCAGATAATGCAGTAAGATACAATAAAGAAAACACTGAAGTACATTTCAAGAAGGCTTTAGATTCTGACAGAAATACACACAATGCACATGCAAAACAAGATCTAAACGCTGGCTCCATCACATTTTCACATGATCGCACTCTCCAAACGACAGAGATCGGCAGGGTACAAGCCGAGTGAATGGGGTAAGAGACCACAACACTGCCAAAAGCTTACTCTACTCATGCAAAATCTCAGATCAGCCCATATTCTTGGCCTCAACACCAAGCTAACCAACTAAGCTACAGACCACCATTGAAAAAGACGCACAAGCCCTGGGACCAGCAATAGCCCTTCGAGGGCTGTATCCCAAAGAGATCATACAAATGGGAAAAGGACCCACATGCACAAAAACATTTATAGCAGCGCCTTCTGTGGTGGCAAAGAACTGGAAATGAGGGGACACCCATCAACTGGGGAATGGCTGAACAAACTGTGGTATATGAACATAATGGAAAATCATTGTTCCATAAGAAATGATGAGCAGGTGGACTTCAGAAAAACCTGGAAAGCCTTGTATGGACTGATGCTGAGTGAAGTGAGCAGAGCCAGGAGTAACAGCCACACTATGTGATGACTAACGTTGATAGACCTAGCTCTTCTCAGCAATGCAAGGATCTAAGACAACTCCAAAAGACTCGTAATGGAAAATGCCATCCACATCCAAAGAATGAACTCTGGAGGCTCAATGCAGATCCAAACGTGCTATCTGCTTTCTTTTTTTGTTGTTTTTTGTTTCTTCTTTCTCGTCACTTATCCCACGCTTTCTAATTCTTCTTTACAACATGACTAATGTGAAAATATGTTTAATAGGAATGCATGTGTAGAGCCTATATCAGACTGCACACCATCTTGGGGTGGGAGAGGGGAAGGGAAGAAAATTTGGAACTCAAAATCTTACAGAAGTGAAAGTTAAAAACTAAAAATAAATTATTTAATTATTATTTTTTTTTTAAAAAAAAGGTACACAGACTGTTCAGGCATTTGGAGATTAGGAGGCCTGCCGAGAAATTAAGTTTACAAAGATAAATAATAGTACATTGAACATAATATAATTTTTTGGCATTGAAATATTTTGGTAGGTATGTGTGGGGTCATTTGAAAGTAATTCAAATTA